CCCCCCCCCCTCCATGGCGCCAAAGCTGGATCCGCCCTTGTGTTTAGAAACAGTTGAAATGAAGAGTCAATCTATTCAGGTGCAACTGCATGAGTGTAGGCAAAACATTAACTGAAGAGTTCGATTGTTCAGTTAATGTCGGTTAAAGTTGGTTTTTAATACTGTTCAATGTATTTACATATGAATAATCTAAGTACGTCATACCGCGAGATGCTTCTGGAAGTATACTAAACTCGAGCAATTGCCTATTGTACACAGTTTATTTGTAGCACTATGTTATTGAGTTAAGTTTTCGAACGCGTTCAACGTATGCAACGGTTTCATAAACGGCGCAATAATGTACCGAGCGCGCGGTGAAAATTATTTTCAAACGGCGCAAGTGCGACCTACATTCGGCGAGCGATAACGCAGGATGTCACAGTTTTCCTACCCAATGGTACTGCGCTTGCGCATGGTTTAAAGCTAACTTGAATTGCTCTACGCTTATTTGATATCCACAGATAAGTTATATTTAAAACGTGCACCAATATTTAAAACCTTTACAACGCAAATGAGTAAATAATTTTCTTAGAGTTTTGTAATAATAAAAAGTTTTTATTTTTCCTTATTCTGTTAATTTTCCAGTGTCTTACAAAAATATTATGGAAGTATATATCGATAGAAATATTGTTGAGTTTAGAAGTTTATAGTGATGCGTTTTCTGTTGAATTATTCTCAAAGTAAAACATTCAGAGGACTGAAATATAAGTGAAATTTGACAGAAATGTCTCGATGTACCTAATCGATTTCGCAAGCGAGTCGAGTCTCGCGTCTCGCAACTGGGTTACATGTACCATAAATCATAATAATATTAACGAGTACACTTTGCACCGTCGTCGTGCGCTGTCTCGTCGCATCAATGTATTTTAGCGATACCTTTCTATACATCTTTGCATCAATATTCTTGTTAACTTCGCTATTTATCAAAGTCAATTTTACAAAAGGTGTGACTTTCTCGAACTATCTACCATTTATTTACAACCTTCATGATGTCAATATCTCTATATATATTTTAATCAAGCAGTAATCTTTTGAATGTACAATGAAGTAGGTATATTTATATTTTCATAAGTTTTTCAAGTGTACTTTTATTAATTAACGTTAAAAAAAAGAATCTAAAGAAAAACATCCTGTATAGCTGGGCTTACGAAATAAACTTGTTTTTAGATTGCATTGCAAAATAATATTAAAACCATACTTTATCGGCAATCGACAATATATTCGATGAGATTCCGAGAAGGAATAGACAATTACGAATATTTGATTAAGTGGCATAAATATATCTAGCAGCAATATTATATTAAAATTATTGTCAATTTAGCTGTAAATTGATTTGTTTACGGTGAGATAGGTTTGCAACGTGAACGGAAAACATGCGTGTAAGCCGAGCATGAGTCAGGCGACGTCACGGCGCAGGACTAGCTGTAACTGACCTACATGACGCGCGGCCGATGCACCCCCGCCCGACTACTCTATAACTGGATTATTGATAGGGCTGCTAACTTTATAAACACTAGAAATAAATTCTCAATGACTAAAAAGTAACAACAAACGACATCTGTAACCACTGTAGTTTCCTTCCATTGCTTGTTTGCCCCCATATTGTGATGAAAAAAATCACACCCAGGATGTAAGTCTGTAAATAAAACGGATCGAAGCCGAATACATCAAAATACTATGAAGTGACAACCCTAGGAGGAATAAAGTGCAGTTTGACGATCGTTATATTATTGTACTTTGCGCAAAGACTAGGGAAAAACGACATGTGTCCGAGACACTTGTAGTATTAATAATGAACATATCTTCGTTTAGACTTTTAATTAATTCATACCGGCTAGAAAACTAAATTAAATTATCAATTGCTACAGGTTTTAATGGTATTTTTAGAACCAACTAAAAGGTATTTTATTCCACTTCACAAATAGTGTATACTATGTACTGTAACCGTTTTTTATTCGAATTGCTTTCATTTTAAGTAAACATCGTGGAATGTTGTAATTAGGAAATGATTTCGCGTACTTTGTTTACATGACCTTAATAGCGTCGTCCTTAATTTTGTTGGAAGCGGTGAAAGGTTACGCTTTATCAATTACCACTGTGTTTTGAATCGTTGTCTTCGTGTGAATAGGATCAAATTGACGTCAATCAACATTCAAATTAGTTTGTAAAAATGTATTCATCATTTAATGAGATATTTGGGTTAATGTTGTTCTGTTGAACTCGAAAGAAAAAGGGCAGCATTCATAAAACCGTTGCTAAAGAATTTATAGAACAGCGCGTCTAGAGCTTGCTTATGGCCGTTTTCCCAGCTACGTTTAATCATTCGTTAGTGTTTTTAATTCGATAAATTCATGAAATGCGTTTCCGAACTACATGGCTTGAGTTTTACTCCCTTAAAATTTAGGTCGACCTAACACTAATCGCTAACGAATAAGTGGAAATTCAGAAACCCAGCGTTAATGTTTTTGTTGCAAGGTAATCCTTTCACAAGCATAATACAAAACATAAGATTATAGTAAACGTACCTTGATTCAAGAGGATGTAGACTTTGAGGCAGACGTACTCCTCCATGCGCAGTTGTATGCGACGGAACACGCAGGTGATCTGCGTCATCTTCTCAACGACGAGGCCGACGTCGAGCCGCAGCTGTTCCAGCGTGATCGGCCGCCCCATTAGTGACGTCAGACAGTTCTGTAGCGTCCGTAAGTTGGCGTTCACCTACGATACAAATATTAGATTAATTCAGTTTCGCGCGTAAATGCTGTCAAGATGCAGGAATTTTTTAGATAAAATTATTGATTTAATGGATATTGTTTTGTTTATTGGACAAGCGTTGTTTTTCTGCTGTTTACTTTGACATTTACAAATTAGTTCTATTGGTTTCATACAAATGTGCTTCTTTATGTAACGATACATGTTAGGTAGAAGGAAATGCACTAGACAATGAAAATATCTTTGTGTAACTACCGCGGTTACGGTTAACTTTACGTAATGCATGCAACCGCTCGCTGCTTGCGAGTTTACGCTTTTTCGACTGTCTGTTGTTTTGAACGTCGCTGCTAGAAATAGCACAAAAAAGTTAACCACATGTAAAGTTATGACAATCGATAATAGTTATTACATTCCAAATACCAAAAGTCGCGACTTGTAGACGTAGAAATGGCGAATATCTACACATTGTAATTAACCTAATGAAACAAGTTCCGTGGATACTATAGCAGGAGCAAAGTGCTAGAAGAATTGAGAATACAAACTTATCTAATAACACTTGTATAGTTAATCAGATTGAATTGAACATACTTTACACGAAAATGATGGAAAACTAAAGTGATGTTTATTAGATTTAATTTCAGAAAAGCGAATGTATTGCGATAAATCTCGATTTCTGTTAGAAACGAGTTCTATACGCGAGCGTCCGAGTGCAGTCGCCGGCGACTTTCTATCGAGATTACGCAAGGCTGATGCAGATCACGTAACTGCACTCCGGCGCATGTGGCGGAAGTCTCGGGAGTGTGAACCGCTAGTGCCGCCTTCTAAGGTTCACTACCTACATGTACCTACGCTAATGTCCTAACACTCCGCTATTTTGTAATACAATCTACCGAGAAGTAAGATATGTTGTTATCTAATCCAACTACATATTTGTGTAAATGCTTGGAGTATATGGAATCGTACATGAATGAACGTTGTATAACTACGATCACAGCTTAGGGTTCACAATTCTTATACTTTGCGCATGTAGTT